TTTCACCAAACGACTATTTTTTGACATGTGGGTCTAAACAGGCTGGCCAGTTTAAGCTAGTGGCCTGTGAAGGCTGGTTCAATTTCCTAGTACTATCTAATAGAGACAATCATGTTTGAGCATGTGTGTAATATTTTGAATGAGTTGACTATACAAATTTTGGAGTTTTTGAGTTTGCAGTTGGTAGTTGTATGGATCGGTGGCGTTGGAATATTACTGAGAGAAAAGCGACCCCTCATCAAAGGAAACTAAGATTGAGGTCTATTAATTCTTTTAAATTCTTAGTGTTAACTCTTGAATTCATATTTGCGTGGATTTTTTTCTTCCAATTTTGGATATTATTTTTCGAAAGAGTTGCATAAAGTTTGATGTTAAAATAATTGTAAAAATCAGCTAGCTGAGGCGATAAATATAATTAGTTATTAGTTTCTTTTCTTTGTTTTCCCCCGCCTCCCCCTCAAAAAGTAGTCTCTTATGAAAGGAGATCCTTTTGTTCCGCCACCTTTTTGATGGCACGGAATGATCGGTAAAAAGTTCAGTTCAATCATGCAATCATGTTCTCCTATTCAAAACGTAAAAAGTAGATAAATAATTTAAAGAGAGTAAAAAGTGCATTTCAAATCCTAAACTTATTTCTTAAATGCATCAAATACCCAAATTTTTTTAATAGTACAATTTTATGTACATATATATTTTTTGATGTAGTCAGCATTTCAATGTTTTCTTCAGCATCCTAAACACTATAAATAAGATTAGGATAATAGAAGCACAAACAAAAAAAGATCATAAGTAATATTACACTATTAAACAAATTAGATCAGGAAGTAGAGGTTGTACCTTTAACCATTTAGAAAAGAAAATAAATTAAATTCTTATATTTAAAATTATAATAAATCCTCAAATAATTCTTAGAATTGCAAGGAATATACGATAAGAATGCAACAAAACAAAAAGTAAAAGTTGCCCCTCAAGAATTTTATAATATTAAGACCATGAAACCCCACCAACAAAAAGTAAAGGCAATGTGGTTATAATAACATAACAAGGGTCCTCTTTATCATGGTGCAATTTCTCATAGAGAGTGGATATTTATAATTTATAATTATTAGAATATCAATTCCGCCATCATTTCCTTGTTGTTGCTGGCTTTGTTGTTGTGGATTATTATTATTATTATTATTATTATTAAAGATTTAAAATAGCTATATACAATCCGCCTAAATTGACGCTATTTCTCCTTTCTTACCTCTCATGCGCCTCTCTGTCATGGTTGGTCGGCATGTCTTGTCTTTCTCACCAATCTTTCTCTTTCCGGTCCCTGTTTCTCATCAGTCTCTGAAAATGAAAGAAAAATGGCATTCCTAAATATCTTATTAACTAAATCATGTAGTTTAAAAAATAGTTAAAATAAATTAAAAGTAATAAATATGTAAAAAATTAATTTCTTTAAGTATGTATTTATTTAATGAAAGAGCAAAAAATAATGGGAAATACTCATCTGGTTCTATTTATAGGCTAGAAAGAAGATATTTTTTGATCCTATTTATAAGGTATTGAGAGAAATTTTTTTATTTGGATGTGCAATTTTACTTTTTATTTATTATTGTGTTAACTTTGTTTACATAAGGTATAGTATATATTAAACAGTGATAAAGACTGGTAAAAAAAAAACAGTGATAAAGATAGAAAGTTTTTAAATTTTAAATGAGAGTTAATGAAATTTAAAGTTTTTCTTGACTTGCGTAAAACATGTTGAAAATGACTTATAAATAGGATAAAAAAAGTACCATTTATAAGATAAAGGATTAAAGAGAATAGAAAAATTAATAATGGGCAAAATTGATAAAGCCATATTTAATGTCCAGACAATCTTTAATGAGAGCTTATGATTAAAAGATCAAACCAATTCAAATTTTGAGATTTTATAAATAAAACCGAATGAACTATTAATTGAATTCATGTAAAATAAGTTACGTTAAATTTTAAATTAATTACCACTTACTTTTTTATTGGAATAATTAATATACAAGTCCTTATAGTTTCAACTGATTTTTAATCAGGTCCCTATAATTTTTTTTCTTTTTATCAAGTCCTTATATTTTCACATATTTTTAATCAGGTCCTTATAATATTTTTTCTTTTTATTAGGTCCTTATTGTTTTACTTTGTTTTTAATTAGGTCCTTGTAGTTTTTATTCTTTATTTTATAAATAATAAAATTTTAAAAATAAATTATTGTAACAATCTTATGTTAATATTCTTTTAAATTTTTAGTCAAACAAATATATTATTTATTTTCAATTTTAATTTTTATAATTATAAGATTCAAATTACAATAATAAATTTTTATAAAATTAAAATATAATTATAAATAATTTATATTTAAGTACAATTATTATTTTGATTATTTATTAATTACTAAATGATTATATTAATTATTTTGTCTAATTATGTAATTATTAATTTAAAAATGAAATTAATTTTTAAAAATAAAGTTAATAAATAATTTTTTTAAAACTACAAAGGACCTAATTAAAAAATAAATGAAACTATAAAGACCTGATAAAAAGGAAAAAAAATAGAAGGACCTAATTAAAAACACACGAAAGTAAAAGGACCTGATAAAAAGAAAAAAACTTATAAAGACCCAATTAAAAATCAAATGAAATTATAAAGACCTGGAGATTAATTATCCCTTTAAATATATCTTAATTAAATTACATGTATTATTGTGTCATATGTAGCATACAAATATGAGTCGTTTATAAGTGATAAATTTTGTGATTAGTTATAGATTTCAAAGTTTATATTTTATGGCTGGCCTAAAAAATTAATTTATATTTTATATTCATCGAAGTTGATTTTTGGTTTTAGTGTTACAATAATGTTGAGTCTTGGGCATTAATTAATCATAAAAAATAAAAAAAGATAAAATAGTTTGTAACCAACTAGTATGGAGTATTAATTTACTGTTGGAAATAAAAAATAGTATTAATTTATAATATATCAATGCGTAGAATGAAGAAGCTGAGTGGTGGCTAGTTAAAAATAAATAATAATTTTCATATTCCTTACGTCTTGTGAAATTAAATGGCTTTAAAATTACTTTGTCCTAGGATCACTAGTATCATTTTCTCCAAATTAAAGTGCATCTAATCACACATTAGTAAGGCAACTATATGAACTTTCATCAATATTTTAAATTTAATTTATAATTTAAAATTTTCACCGGGAATTTAAAATTGAAACACATCAGATGGAATGCATTGAATGCTAATAACTTTGTGTTCTTAACTTTTTGATAAATGAGTTATATATATATTGATACAGGTCCATATATGTGTGCATATATACAGGCAAGCAGCTAGGAAAATTATTTTTTTTGTCCATTTATTTTTTACACAATTATAACTCAATTTCTAAATTTTATCTCGATCTAACTTAATTTCTGTAATTTTAACTTGATTACAACTGAAACCCCTGGTAACTCAGTGCACTTCACTCATGATAATTTTAGTCATTTAAAACTTTAATCCCTATATTTTTATTAAAAAAATAAAATATACTATATTTTATGAAACTTAAAGATTAAAATTTTAAATAGCCAAAACTATAGGATTAAATTATAAACGAGTTAAAATTATAAGGGCAAGAGATTAATTTGGCATATATGTTGGCTTGGATATGTACTGTTGCTTAAAAACCAAAAAAAAAAAAAAAAGAAGAGAAAGAGTTATCGAACATTTATTTGGTTTAAATGAAAATTAAAAATTGAAAAGTACAGGTTAGGTTGTTAAGGTTGAAACGTGAAGGCATGTGGACTTGGCAATTGTTCGCAACCCGAGAAAGCTACTCGTCGCGATTAACGGCTCAACTGACTTGAATGTTTTTTCTGTTTTGGCTCACGAGAAAGGATGCTTGACCGTCTTACAAGAAAGTACGAGGCTCCCTTATTATAAAACGGCACTCTCTGACATAATTTTTTAATTTAATTTGTATTTATGTGCTCCCTCCGATCCATATTAAATGCAATTTTTAATTTTTAACCAATCTTACTCTTATTTAGCATTATTTTTTTCATACATTTTTTTTCGTTTTTCCTCATAATTTCTCTCTCACGTATCTTCTGATAAATAAGGGTGGTATTTTAAAAAAGAAGTTCTTTCCTAATATATTTATTGTTTTTAATTAATACTAACAACTTTTTTAAACAACGTAACTTGATTAAATAAATCTTATAGAAAAGGAGTAAATATTTTCACAATTCTCAAAAGTCTTTTTTGGCAACTACAATTCTTAAAATACTATATTCTTAATTTGGGGAAAATAATACCACTTTTCAATTTTTTCGTTTATTAATAATGATTACTACAATGAGTTGTATTTAAAATTAAAAAAATGACAACAATTTAGTACGCTTAAGGAGCATAATATTTTAAAAGTATAAATTACCTTTTTTTTTTTTGCCAACGAATTACCACATCTTCACTTTGGTTCCTAACATACCACATCTTTATTTTATATTTAAAATCAAATTGGGTTTTAAAATTTAACCTATAATTAAAATAGGAAGGAATATACTTTAAGAATTTAGCCATTCATCTGTAAATGTACGGCGTTATACAATGTGTTTATTTTATTTAAAAAAAATATTAACAACATAGAAACAGAACAAGAAACATGCCAGATTGGGTCTCCCTAGTGACCAGTTGCTAGTGTTTAAAAAAACGGTGTCGTCTCAGCCAAAGCTTCTGGAATTTCCAGGCCAGAAGAGTCAACATGGTCGCATAACGCCGTTGCAGTAATTCCAGTCCGTGAGCTATTAAAAAAAACGCAATTATTAATTAGTTAGTAATTACCGTCTCTAATAGGGGTATTATTGTAATAACAAGATTATTGGAAGGGCTTGATTGTAATTTAACGCCTCTCTAAGGTGAGGCGCAAAAAAATGAAAAAAAAAAAACCAGCAAAACGCAGAGACAAAGAGCACCGAAACTGTGAGCGATAAGAGCAAACCATATACAAACAACAAAGGCATTCTCAGTGGTGGATCATTGTGGTTTTCTCTGCCCAAAAAAATTGAGAAACTCTATTCAGAAGAAGAAGAAGCAGTAGTAGTAGCTGCTTCTGGCAAAGCAATGCCTGTCATCACCGAAATTCTATGCTAATTTATCTGATCTTGACATTCTCTTTCGTTGTTTTCATGCAGATGCTCACTGCATTGTCTGGAGAAGGTGATACATTCTAATGAGTTTTTGCTTTTGTCATGTTTAAATTCTTCTTTTGTACATCGTGATTCGTGAGCGTCATACCTTCTTCTTCAAATAAATCTGAACCGGATTTGGTAGAAGCGATCTGTTGGTTGACGAATGAAGAGGTTTAGCTTGTAACACATTTCACAATTTTTGGCCCAACTTTTTTTTTTTTTGCATTTTACTTCATATTGTACGTTGAAAAGTGAGTCAACAAGAGTGATGGATGGTCTTTGAAAATTTGTTGGTTTGTTTCTTTTTCATTTCGTTCATTTCCTTCTTTAATTGCATTTGGTTCAATTGGCAGTGCCTCCGTCTCTGAACATCCAAGATCTTGGAGGACAATGCTAACTCTGAGAACATCAGGCAGAGGCGAGTTTGATCCTGCGTGAAAGCTTGTACTGTTTATATTAGCAGCCTGTTGCGAGTATCAAATAGCTCAGATGCCAATTTCATTCGCTTAGTCATTGGTAAAACGAACTGAAAACGTTGAAATTTTACGGTGGTTTTTAGTCTTCCGTATTGAATTGCTGTATCCAATGTTACGATGGAAATCATGAAATTTCTATGGTTTTCGGAATTTGCAGCTGCGAATTGATATAGGTGGAGGGCTATATTTCAGGTTGATTTTCCTGAAGGCATGGCATCTGGGTGGGACCATTTTGGGGATATTGCAAATGTAGCCCAGTTGACAGGCCTGGATGCTGTGCGGTTGATTGGGATGATTGTAAAAGCTGCAACTACAGCACGAATGCACAAAAAGAATTGCAGGCAGTTTGCACAGCATCTGAAGTTGATTGGGAACTTGTTGGAGCAGCTCAAGATCTCAGAGCTCAAAAAGTATCCCGAAACTCGAGAGCCTCTGGAGCAGCTTGAAGAATCCCTTAGAAGGGCTTATATATTGGTCAATAGTTGTCAAGATCGGAGCTATCTTTATTTGTTGGCCATGGGCTGGAACATCGTTTATCAATTCCGGAGGGCTCAGAGTGAAATTGATAGATACCTGCGCCTTGTTCCTCTCATTACACTTGTAGACAATGCTCGAGTCAGGGTATCTATCTGTTAGTAGTGCTGTGTTCTATCTCTTCCTATAAACTATCTGCACTTGATCAATTGTGCTAGAGTTTTATTCTCCTTCAGTTCTATGTTTTTAATATATGGCATTTGCTTCACTGCTATTATTTTATTAATATAATATTTTTTGGCCTTTGAAAATTAGGGACCTATGCTGGCAGGGTGTATGCCTGAATGTGTGCTGTCAACCAGCCACGTCATGTAGCTAGTTATGTAGGATAATAGTTTTCCATATTTGTTGAGGACTTTCTTGAAGTTACATCTCTTAATATGTCTTAATTAAACACACGTATAGTACGAAGATATCTCCTTATATTTTGTATCTGAATTGATCAGAATTTGGAAGTTTCTTGTCATATATAAGATGTACGATCTGTTTAATGCTATTACTATAATCATAGCATCTGCAATTGCAAATGTGGCCTCAATGTTTTCAATAATCTGTTGCTTCTATGAAAATTTCAGGAGAGACTTGACATTATTGAAAGAGATCAATGTGAATACACATTGGATGATGACGATGAAAAGGTGCAGACTGTTATTATGAAACCTGATCCAGACAAAGAAGATACTGCAGTGCTGAAGAAAACTCTCTCTTTTTCTTATCCCAACACGCCTTTCAAGGAAGCACTGAAGAAAGAAAATGAAAAGCTTAGAGTGGAGCTACAGAGGTCACAAGCAAATTGGGATGCGAGTCAATGTGAATTCATTCAACGTTTATTAGATGTCACTGAAGTTGCGGCATATTCTCTTCCAGAAAAATTTTCTCCTGAAAAAAATCATAAAATTGTAGAGAACACTTACATTGATGCTAATCATGACAAAGAACACGCATATGATGACAAGTCTTATGAGGGAACTGATGCTGTTTCAACGTCAAGGTGATTTGCCCCCTTATCCCTTGAGTTTAACAAGTATTATTTGTTCACCGGATAACTCATCTGTCTGAAAATTAAAATAGTTCATGCTCCTTCCATCTCTTTGCTTTCTTGTGCGGCCAATAATAGTTGTCTTAGATGAGTTATCTAATTTTTCCATTTTGATAACTAATCATCTCTTGGCATAAACAGATATTCATCTGGAGGTTCATATCAGGAGGAAGAATGGCATACAGATTTACTTGCTTGTTGCAATGAACCTTTTCTTTGTATGTTCTTTCCTACTGTTCATTATTTTGTTCAGATTATAGTTGAAAGCGGTGCTTTGACGCTCCTGAGGGTTTATGTATCTATATTGTGAGGTTCACGGTGGCTGTGATGTTATTGATGATGTATCTCTCAGATGTCTTGTCAATTGACTTTCTAAATAGTCGGCAGCATGTTCCACACCATTTTATTACTTCATTTTGCCCCTACCTCAAATTTACGTGTTATTGTTGATGTCCACCAGTGGTGATTGATTGGTCAAGTCTGGCATAGTAATCACATTGATCATATACGAACCCCTATTGCATGGGTTGTTAAATATCGTCCTTCTCAATATGAGTTGATAACTTACGTTGCAGGTATGAAGACGTTCTTCTATCCCTGCGGGACATTTTCAAAGATTGCTACTGTTGCAAAGAACAGACCCATATGTAAGTTACGGCATAGAGTCTGTTAGCATTTGACAAGCTGTTTTTACGCAGATGGATAATGACTGAAAGTGTCTTGCTTTTATTAGTTTTAGGAATGGGATGACGTTTGAGTAGAGGGTAGGCCAAGTTGGTGATGTCGAACATAAGTTCCTTTTTCTCACCCCCACCCCCCGGGGGTTTTTTGGGGGTTGGGCGGTGGGGTGCAGCAACGATATAGGTACTTCAGAAAATTCTCCTACGTTACTATGTTTATCAGGACTCCAAGTAGTGGTTAAGTGACTATATGTGCTTTGGCCTTGTTGAAGTGAGATTTAAAGACAGACTATATTTTTACACTTTCACATCTCGTGAACAATGAAGAGGAGTTGACTAATGATGAAGCAAGTTCTTCTTCTTGTGATTTTGTGATTTTTTGCTATATGAGCTAAATATGTGAAAGGAGTCTTT